AAGAAAGAAAGAAAGAAAGAAAGAAAGAAAGAAAGAAAGAAAGAAGGGAGGAAGGGAGTGAGGAAGGTGAGAGGGAGGGAGGGGGAGGAGGGAAAGAGAGAAAGAGAAAGAGAGAGAGAAAGAAAATCTCCTTTGGAACTTGTAATGCGTCACAGTGTGTCCCACTGTGTGTTCACACAGCTTTACTTTCAAATGTTCATTGCAGTGAGTCTGGTTCCAGGTTCTTAGCTTCTGCTACACTTTCAGTTCTGAAACTTCACTAGGACTCCTTTGACATTCTGTTGTTGCCCTGTGTCATGGAGATCCTGCAGTTTTGGATCTGTAGGACCAACCCCTTTAGGCACTCCAGCAGTTCATCAATGGGTTAGATGTTGGGGTTGGCCAACTCAAAGCCCTGAATCTGGGCCTGTGTGGTAGCTGAGCTGGTCAGCCTGTCAGCTGTCCAGGACAAGCTCTCTATCTAGCACTGCACCCTGCCTAGCCCCAGTTTATCCAATGTGGCAGGCAGCAAGGGGCAGAGCCAGCTCTTTAGCTCTCATGCTCATAGAGCTGGCTCACTCGTGCCCACACTAACAGGGTCAGCTCTACTGTGCTGCCCAAGGCCAGCTCTCTGGCTCTCATGATCCTAGGGCCAGCTCTCCCACCTACTTCAGGGGGTGAGGGTCAGGGGAGAGGGCATCTCTCCCTTACCCACACCACCCCAGACTAATGGCAAGACCAGCTCTCACATGCTCATGTCCTCTAGCCAGCTCACCTGCAAGCAGGGCCAGCTCTACAGTACACAATATCCTTCCTCATTGTAATCCCATTCAGTCTCATGTCTTAGGAGCCATTCAAAAGTGGATCATTTCTCAATTCAGTCATTGGAACATAGTGTCCTAGCTTGCTTTCTGTTTCTGTAAACACCATGACTAAAAGCAAGTTGAGGAGGAAAGTTTACTGCTTAAAAACCACTCATAAAGGGAAGCAGGAATGGAAGTACATGGCTCAGAAGAAGACTGCTTACTGACTTACTAGCCAGGACCCAGGGGCGGCACACCCTCCCAGATCAGTCACTAATCAAGAAAATGTCCCTCAAGCTTGACTATGGCAGTATAATAGAGGCAGTTCCTCAATTAAAGTTCCCTCTTCCCAAGTGACTTTAGCTTGTGTAAAATTGACAAAAATACTAACCACCACACTTAATTTCACACATGTTTAGGTTGAAATTCTTGTCCTGCACAGCGTAGGAAATGGTGTGAGGTTGGGCAGAGTACTTTACCTTGCCATGTTCTGTGTCCTCATGGCTGAGGGGATGAATAAAACAAAAGTCAAATTACTTTAGCCAAAAATAGCTGGTAACTTTCAGATTTCTGTTTAGATTGTTCAGTTTAGAGCCAAGAATTAGTCTATCTTATCAAAGGAAAAAATTATCTTAAGTAACTTACATTATTAAATCTTAACTATTAAGTTATTTAAAAGTACATGTTAATGCTGCATATGGTAGGGAATGTCTATAGTTTCAGCACTCAGGAGACTCATGCAGGAGGGTGAGAGTCTGAGACCATCCTGGTCTACACAGTGGGACCCGGTTTTAACTGAGACTAATCCCTACTCCATTCCACCAGATTTAACTTTTTTAGAGGACTTGACTAGTATGCACAAAGCCCTGAGTCTCATCCCTAACACTATAAAAATAGTATTAATGTTCAATTAAAATTATTCAGACATCTTACAATTCATTGAATGCCCTTCATCTGATGCAACCTGCCCTCTGCCTAGTCAGATTACTGAAATAGTCCATGAGGGAAACCATTACTGATCTACTGATTTTGGTGGCCATTGTTCATTTTATAGTGTGAAGCTGGCCCTCTTACCTCTTGTGCCTCTTCAAAGCCCTCTGCCCACCAGCAGCCAGGTGCTTCAGTGTGCCAATCTCCTGCTGACGTTCTACTGCCTTCAGCAGTACCCAGTCTTGGACTTTAACCCAAATGTGAAACCCCTGGGAATCTTGTCAAAGATCAGATTTTGCCTCAGTTAAACATGGGTAGCGCCTGAAGCTCAAATCCTCTTTAAAATTTTGTTTTCCTTATTCTTCTCAGTTTTATGAGATTTTTCACAGTTTGATACACTTCTGGTTTTTTGAGACAGGGTTTCTCTGTGTAGCCCTGGCTGTCTAGGCATCCTGGACTTGCTCCATAGACAAGGCTGTCCTTGAACTCACAGAGGTCAGCCTGCCTCTCCTCCCAAATGCTGGGATCAAAGCGATGCATTACCACCACCTGGCTCAGTTTGATACTCTTAACCAGAAATATTGAACTCTTACATTGGTTTCAGGAGCCCCAGTGGTTCTAACCCTGTTGTAGGTGTTTTTAATATTTATTATTGGTTTATCCTCTAGTAAAACTGCTGTTAATCCTCAGCAGCTGTATAACCAAATTACCACACAGAGACTGGGTTTTTAGTTAACCTAGAACACAGTGCTGGGCAATATTTACTCCCTCTAAAACCTCTAAGCCCTCAGTTTCCTAACATTTAGATTTCCCACATTATACTTGCTTTTTGTGAAATCTTAGGTCTGGTTCATGCTCCACTTCCTCCAAGATCTCTCCTCCAGCTCTGCTCTCCTCACTCTCCTTTCACCCCTTCTCCTCCTTCTCTCCTACCTTTTGGCTCCTCCCCTCTTTCCTGTCCTCTGTCTCCTCCCTGCTTAACATTGTGTCTAGTTGCTTTATTTTTGTCCTGTTTACACAAGAGTTGAGACAGGATGCTTAGAATGAGTACCACAATGCAATATTTGGATTGAAACCAGAGAGTTGGGGGTGGGGCGGGGGAAAAATCAGTATTTGAATGAACAAGGGTAAGGTGTATACATTAAAAAAAAAAAAAACATTATACCAACATAACCCAAATATGGTGATTTACTGCGCAGAACCTCTTACGTTTCTGCTTCAGAGTAGTATGGTAAATTTACATCTGCCAGGAAAACTATTTCCTTCGTATTGGGTTATTCATTCTCATTAAAATCTATTTAAACCAGACTTACGCCAAGAAGAGTTTCTGACAGCACCTCACTCTTTTGCTCAGGTTACTATTAGAATTTATAAATATATTCACTAATTCGCATGTGTGTGTGTAGGTACTTTGTTTTGTTTTGTTTTTTACTCTGTACATGTATGTTTACATATATGTTTATGCTATCCCAGAGAGCTTATGTTCTGTTATGTTCTGCTCAAGTGTGTTTGTTTTGTTTGTTTGTTGGGTTGGTTGGTTGATTTGGTTTGTTTCTTTTTGTTAATTTGTTTTTGTTTGGTTTGGTTTTTCAAGACTGAGTTTCTCTGTGTAACCTGTGCTGTTGTGGAATTCTGTAGACAAGGAGGCTTCAAATTCAGGGATCCACCTGCCTCTGCTTCCCAAGTGCTGGGATCACAGGCATGTGCCACCACTACCTGGTGTTGTTGTTTTGAGATGGTTTCATGTAGTCTAGACTGGCCTCATTCTTGCCGTGTAGCCAAGGATGGCCTGAACTTCTGATCTTTCTGCTTCTACCCAAGTGTTGACATTACAGTCATGCATTGCCACACAGTTTTATATGGTGTTCCAGAGCTTTGTGCATGCCAGGCAAGCACTCTGCTGATTAAGCTACATCCACTATACGGTTTCTTGTTACCTTTTCATTCCTTTCTTTGACATTTTAATCAGTTATCCATCTGTGTATGATTTTATCATCATACAGATGCTTAGTTCTAGTATAGCTTTTTTCTTTTGTTTTGTTTTTCAAGACAGGGTTTCTCTGTATAGACTTGGCTGTCTTGGACTCAGTTTGTAGACCAGGCTGGCCTTGAACTCACAGTGATCCACCTGCATCTGCTTCCCAGAGTGCTGGGATCACAGGTGTGTGCCACCATACCCAGTTGCTGTGACATTTTTTAATGTCTTTTTTCCCCTTCTGTTTCCATACCTCTATTTCTTTATAGACCCCAGTTTAATGAAAGAAGAACAAATGTCAAAGGCCCAACAGTTCACCAGAAGCTTTGAGGAGGGGCTGGGCTTTGAGTATGTGATGTTCTATAGTAACGCTGAGAAGAGGATAGTCTGCTTCTTTCAAGGAGGTCTGCACCTGCAAGGTGTACCTGGGTAAGAGTACATCTTAGCAGCATGGAGCCAAAAGAGGGTTATTCTCACATATCTAAGGACTTCGAAGGTGACATTAAAGTGGTAATGTAGATACATAATTACTGATATAGAAAGATGTTTATATCATGCTATTGAAAATTATACTAGTTACATTTAAAATTTTTAACATAATATTAAATGATACATATAATATAGTACAATAGGATATATGATATATATTTATTATAGGACATAGGTAACAGAATATGATGAACACATTTGTAGTGGTTTGGCCATGACTTGGGGCCTTAAGATTTCTTCCTTCTATTTATCTGCACTTCGTAAACTGTAAAAATTTCTTTTATTATTATTTTAAACTCTGTGCATATGCATGTGTGAGTGTAGGTGCCCAAGGAATCCAGAGGTTTTAGATCCTCCTGGAACTGTAGTTGCAGGTGCTGGTAAACCATCCAGCATGGGTGCTGGGAACCAAACACATGGGCTAAGTTAACTTAACTGCTGAGGAATGGCTCCAGCCCCACTTTCTAAGCGTAAACAAGGAGTATGTCTATCTACTAGCAGAGTGTTCTTAATTAAATTTTAGCTTTTTCATGCTATGATGTGGTTACTGCTAAGTTTCATTATAAGTACCCTTTCTGCTATGGACAAAGTTATGGATATGGATATTATTTAACATTAAATATACTACATAAGGTAATGTATAAAGACACTTGAATAATTTCTGTTGTGAGAGGCTGTTTCCGGACTTCTGAAACTTTCTCTTCCTCTGCTGTTGTGAGTAGATTTCTTCATGGAGGTGCCATTGCAACCATCATTGATGTTACTGCTGGCATGTGCGCGATTGCGGAGGGAATTGTCATGACTGCCAACCTAAACATCAGCTATAAAAAGTAAGTCTATAGTAATTTACCTTATGTTCTTAAGTCAAATTTTTCAGCAGCAGACCCTGAGGCAAGGTGGATGTGGTTACTGTCAAGAAAGTGCTCCCAAAGGACTAGCAAGGAAGATGGAGAAGCAGGACAGTGAGGAAGCCACCAAACTTCTGCACAGAGTAGCTCCAGCCAGACAATCAAAGAAATTCTGGGAAGAGAAATTCATGCTCCAGAATCATTCTGTGTATCAGTACAGAGGCAGGGATAATAACCAGTTATAGAATGAGGACTTCCCTGGCTCTCTATATTTGAGAAAAGCATCATCTAGGGAAATAATTTGTTTTTATTTTTCATTAACTTGAAGGGCATGCCATGTTGTGCATAGAGAAGTCAGCAATCTCCTACCATGTTGATCCTACAGATTAAACACAGGCCATCAGGTTCAGCCTCAAGTGCCCCCAACTGGCCGAACATATCAGTAAGATCTGGATGGAGCCCAAAAATTCCCTATATGTTAAAAGAGAAAGAGAGAGATTTCTCATAACTTTACACAGAGAAATCAAGTGGAAATAAAATGAGCTTGGATCCATTAAAAAGCAAAGTTCAGCATGATCTTCACCATCCAGCTACAGTCCTACACCAAACAGCCTAATGGCTTCCAGCAAGGAGTAGAAAATGAACTGTAGAGCAAAACAAGGTGTAAGAACAATGGCTTCAAAGTATGAAGTCTCCAAGGGAGGTTTTGTGGGTTATTACTACAAACATAAGTTACCAAACATCTTCCCTTTACATATCACAAAAACTGTTATTACTTGAGTAGTAGTTTTTGGAAGCTATGCTTCATAGATTATGAGTTTATTATCTATAGCTAATTATAAGCTTATCGTCTATAGCTAATGTATTATATTAAAGTTCTCCTATAGAAAAGTTTATTTCAGAGGTCAGTAAACTTTTTCTGTTAATATCTTATATTTGTGGTCTATGTAGTCGTGACTACATCTTTTCATCTCAGCCTTGAAAGCACAGCAGCAGCTGTAGATAGTGCATTAGGATAGCTGTGTTCCCGTTAATTTCATTTGTAAAAGCAATAGCCAGTGCACTGTAGTTTGCCAAACTCTGGACTGTGTACCCAGGGGTCCAACTGGAAAAGGGACAGAGCTACTTACCTTCTGTTGTAACTCCTCTGCCCCTTAGCTTTCATCAGACAAAAGCAGGTAATTGCCATTTTAACTTCTTCCTATCTAGTAGCCAATAATGGTGACTTCAAATTATTTATGCAAGATGAAATTTGTCATCTAAGGACCATCAGAAAAGGTACCCTAAGCCACCAAGGTTCCCACAGATGAGGGGCTACATCCATTCTTTTGCATGTAAATATTCAGGTTTTTTTATTTGTTGAAGAGACTGTTTTGCCCATTGTGTATTCTTGATACAGCTGACTGTGAGGTTGAGGAGATTATTCAGTTGGTTAAGTTCATGCTGTTCATGCATGAGGGTCTGAGTTCAGAACCCCAGCACCCACAATAGATATAGTATCACAGGACTGCAATTGCAGTGCGGGGAGGGTCCCTGCACCGGCTGAGCACACAGTCGGAGCAGGTCAGGGAGCTGTAGGTGCCTATGAAACCTTGGCTCAGAACATAAAGTGGAGAGTGGCTGAGAAAAACAGCAGACATTGACCGCCATTGCTATTCTCTTGTCTCTAAACACACTGAGGTGGACAAAACAGCTCAAAACTGGTGTTGCTCAAAGGGGCAGTATCTGAGCCTATAACTGCTTCACGACATGTCAGGCCAGAAGCTCTCCATCAGACTTCCTGATTCTATGTGGCAGAAAAGAAATACTAGCCAGAAGGTGTTGGTGCACAGCTTTAATCCCAGCACTCAGGAGGCAGGTGGATCTCTGAGTTAGAGGCCAGCCTGGTCTACAAAGCAAGTTCCAGAACTGTTACACAGAGAAACCCTGTCGCAAAAAAACAAAGGAAAAAATACTGAAAGACATTCTTCCTTTAAAATGAGCAGATCCTGCATCAAATACATACATACATACATACATACATACATACATACATACATACATACATACATACATACGAGGAGGATCAGGCTAGAAAGCCAGCTCAGCAGTTACCCCATGGTAGGCGGCTCATAACCACCAGCAACTCCATCTCCAGGGGCTCTGACATCCTCCTTTGGCCTCCACAGTCACCTTTATATACATGGCATACACTTTATACAAACATACAGTCACCTTTATATACATGGCATACACTTTATATAAACATACACAAAGAAATAAAAGAGGTAAATGTTTTAAAGTTTCAAAGAGTATCAGCAAAAACAATAAAGAACAAATTTAGATCCTCAAAGACTGTAGATATCCTTATGGGATAATCAAATATATACTACGATGTAAGATAGTATTGTTTTCATTAAATAAATGAAAGAAAAAATCACGAAAATAAAAAGCAAAAAGCAGCTAAAGATTATTAATTAGATTTACTGTGGAATTTAATAGAAAGTTTACGTGAAGGTGTAATTATTTTTTAAAGGGGGAGGGGAGCTATTTACGTACAACTGGAAGTGACCAGAAGTATACAACTAAAGACATCATTACCCTGCAGACACAATGCCAATGAAGCTCAAAACGTATTTTGTTGTTGTTTTTTTTTTTTTTTTTTTGAACCTATTTAGAAACTCAAGCCAGGCAATGGTGGTGAATACCTTTAGTCCCAGCACTTGGAAGACAGAGGCAGGAGAATCTCTGAATTTTTGAGGCCAGCCTGGTCTATAGAGTGAGATCCAGGACAGCCAGGACTACACAGAGAAACCTTGTTTTGAAAAACCATACAAAAGGAAAAAAAAAGGAGAGAGAGAGAGAGAGAGAGAGAGGGAGGGAGAAAGAGATTCAAAACCACGGCTCAAGCTTTTTTCAATTTTCTGTTATAACTGCCTCTTGTGGCATATCTGATAGAGGGCTTCACTGCCTCATGAAGGTTTTGGAAGTGGATCATTCATTCTTGGGAAGTCACTCTTTAATAGGGAAGCTTTGCTTCTGCTCTTTGAGAGAATGGGTGGAAGCATCTTAGCTCTATGGGCTTCCTCTTAAGGTTTAGGTTACATTTTGTTCTCTCTACCTTTCAGAAGTTCAGATCAGTGTGTAGCAGTTGGTTTCACACTTGGAAAGCTTACTCCTCTAAAATGTACAATTAAATACCATCCTGTGTATTTCGCTGAAAATTCACTTACAAATTTTATAATCTCATAGTTTTCATAATCTCACATCCCAGTGAAACATCAAATCACATCTCCCTACATGATAGTTCCTCTTTTCTTAAGATTTTTTCCAGATTCCATTCAGCAGACCTGTATACTCATCTACTCCATTATTTCAGTGAGACATTCAATCCATGTCCACTGCAGCTAAACTAATGAAGACATGCCAAGCTTAAGTGCAAAATGAAACGAATTATTCCAGTCAGATTGACATGGATTCTACCAAGTTGGTAAAGCATTGGCTACTCTCTGACCCTGAGATGGCTCATCCAGTAAGAGGTGAACAATTTGATATGTTGAATAGTGGCTTGAAATTATTTTAAGAATGGGGGGATAGATACTTTGAATCCAGTAAAGAGAGTATAGAAATAAAAGGAGATGTGATATAATGGTAACATTTCAAAGCTGTAGTAAGAGCAGTAGGGGGAAAAAATTGTTTCCAAAAGAAGAAGAATGTATGAACATATTCTTGTCTAGAAAGAATAACATAAATCCACAAAAAAAAAATACAACAAATATCAATCAGGATAAATAGCAGTAATCTATGCAGCTACTCTAGAGAAGTTACAGAACTATTAAAAGCATCAGAAACAAAGGAGCATCCATAAGACAACTGTTTCAGAAGCAAGAAGGCACCATTGCTCTATCAGTAAACCTCCCAACAGCAACAGCAGAGAGAGGCTCAGACAGTGTCTCCATTTCACCCAGCTTGGAACTGTGCTCCAAGCATACTGATATTCAAAGGGCAACATCAAGTTGTTTCCATTGAGCCAAAAATTGAGAAAGTTTGTGGAAAAAATAGGGCAATACCCAGGAAGCATATGGAAGACTACCACAGAGGGAAGGAAAGCAATGCCAGAATGACCAGAGGGAAAATGATGGAAGCATACAATGAGCAAATAAATGGTACATGTGCAGAACATGGGTCTCAGCAGCAAGACCAATGCCTGCATCCTGGAGAATAGCAAGAAGCTGGAACACTTACACAGTGACAGAGCTGGGGAGAAGGCAAATGAAAGTCCTTGTGTTTTTCAGCAAGGAGGAGATTAAAATGAGTGATAACTGATATGCAAAGCACTAGAAAAGTACAAGTAAATAGTTAAGAAAAAAACCTAATTCTTTAAAACAAGAAAAAAAAAACAGAGAATGTGACTCAAATAGAAAACAAAGTAAGAAAGTACAGCAAGTGAGGTAATAACTGACCTCAGTCCAAAGGCAGGTTATAAAATTGAATTTAATATAAAAAGCTAAAACTATGTGAAACATCTAAAAATACAAAAAAAAAAAAAAGTGGGTTTTTTTTCTTTCTTTTTTTAGTTGTTCTTTCAAGATAGGGTTTTTCTGTGTAGCCTTGGCTGTCCTGGACTTACTTTGTAGGCCAGGCTGGATCTGCCTCTGCCTCCCAGTATGCTGGAACTCAAGGCGTGCATCACTGCATCACTGCACCCGGCACAGATAAATACATAAATAAATAAGGTTTGCTGTTCTTGTTGTTGAGACCAGATCCCTCTGTATAGCCCTGGCTGACTTGGAGCTCCGTGTAAAGACCATGCTGGCCTTGAATTCACAGAGGTCTCCTGCCTCTGCCTCCTGATTGTTGGGATCTCATGCCCAATCCTCCCTGTAGGCAGTAGTGTGTAGGGGGGAAAGGAGGCAAGAGAGACTGCTGGTGTCAGAGCTCCACAGGAACAGCCTAGCTAAGATGGTCAGTATTCCCTGGCATGGGGTGTGAATATCCACTTACTGTGCACCTGGTAATCTCTCAGTACCACAAATTTAGCAAAATGATTTTTTTCTCCCTTCTGTAGACCCATCCCCCTTTGTTCTGTTGTGGTGTTAAATAGCCAGCTTGATAAAGTTGAAGGAAGGAAAGTTTTCGTTTCCTGTACTGTTCAAAGTATTGACGAAAGGACTGTGCACACAGAGGCAACAGGTGAGAGCTGTTGTTTTCATTTTATAACTCACAGAAGTTTTGAATTTCATGCCGTGCACGAGACAGATCAAATGCTTTGGTGTTGGGTTTTAGTTTGAGTTTTTATTGTTTGAGACAAGGTTTTGTCTAGCCTATGATGGCCTTGAAATTGCTATGTAGCAAAGGCTAACCCTGAACTCCTGATCCTCCTGTCTCTACTTCCTGAGTACTAGAATTACAGATTCGAGTCATCCCATCACACCTGTCTCAGGTTGATTGGGTTTGTTTTTGTTTTGGGGGTGGGTGTGTATGTATTTTTTTTTTCTTTCTGAGACAGGATCTCACTATGTAAACCAGGCTGATCTCAAACTCACAGAGATCCACGTGCCTCTACCTCCCAAACACTAGAATTAAAGGTCTGTGTCACCACATCTGGCTAAAATGGGATCTTAATGTCATATAGATTTGCATTTCCCAGGTAATCGGTAGAGGTGAATATCTCTTCATATGTTCAAAGACCATGTTTATTTCCCATTCTGTGAAATTCCTGCTGGTTCATTTTTTTCTTTTCTTTTTTCTCATTCTTACCAGTTTACAGGAACGCTTTAGATATTTTAGGTTAAGCTTATATCAGATACGTAGAAACTGCATGCATCTTTTAGTGTGCAAGATGGTTTTATTTGCTTTAAGGTATCTCTTTATGAACAGAAGTTTTGTTTTTGTTTTAGTTTTTTTTTTACTTTTTCACATGGCATATGGCTTTTGGGGTTTTTTTGTTATTTTCTTATTAATTACACTTTATTCACTTTGTATCCCCCCCCCATAAAGCTCTCCCTCCTCCCCTCCCGATCCCACCCTCCCTGCCCCTTCTTCACGCATGCCCCTCCCCAAGTCCACTCATAGGGAAGGTCCTCCTCTCCTTCCTTCTGATCTTAGTCTATCATATCTCATCAGGAGTGGCTACATTGTCATCTTCTGTGGCCTGGTAAGGCTGCTTCCCCTTCAGGGGGAGGTGATCAAAGAGCAGGCCAATCAGTTTATGTCAGAGGCAGTCCCTCTTCCCATTACTATGTAACCCACTTGGTATGAGCAGAAGTTTTAATGTTAATAGTCACATTTATTGTATTTTCATTTATGAGTAATGCTTAAGAAATTCATATTTAAGAAATTCACTTTTCTCCTAAGCGTCAGCTTTTTACAAGAATGATGGCTCAGGGAGCAGGAGGATGACATTACTGATCTGAGTCCACAGTTTGTTTGCAGCTCCATTCCAGGCTGTAAGCTCGTAATCCAAGACTTTCTAGGCTAGATTGCATCTATTGCTGTGAAAAAACACCCTGACCAAATTCAATTTAGAGAAAGAAAAGGCTTATTTCAGCTTACACTTCAGGTAACAGTCCAACCTTGAGGGAAGTCTGGGCAAGAACTCAAGGCAGAAACCACGAAGGCACACTGCCTCAGTAAGCAGCTTCATGCCGAGCCTTCTAAACAGCCCAGAACTACCTGCTCCCACAGACATGCTCACAGACCAATCAGATACAGGCAGTCCCTCAACTGAGACTCCCTTCTCGGGTGCCAAGACTGACAGGTTAACAGTTAAAGCTTATTATGACACTCACTAAACCTGTCCATATCAGTTGGCTCAGTTGTAAACTTAAACTTACTTCTCATTTCTGGGATACCTCTTTTTTTTTTTTTTTTTTTTGTTACATTTTATTAACTCTGTATCTTGCTCCCTTATTCCCTCCCAATCCCACCCTCTCTCCCTCATCTCCTCCCTGCCCCTTTCCAAGTCCACTGATTGGGGAGGACCTCCTCCCCTTTCATCTGACCCTGTTTTATCAGGTATCTTAAGGACTGGCTGCAAAGTCCTCCTCTGTGGCCTAGCAGAACTGCTCCTCCCTTGGGGGGGTGGGGAGGTCAAAGAGCCTGCCATTGAGTTCCTGCCAGAAATAGTCCCTGTTCCCCTTACTATGGGAAACCAATTGGTTACTGAGCTACCACTGGCTACATCCGAGCAGAGGTTCTAGGTTATGTCCGTACATGGTCTTTGGTAGAGTGTCAGTCTCAGAAAAGACCCCTGTGCCCAGATATATTTGGTCCTTGTGGAGCTCCTATCCTCTCCATGTCATACTAACTCTGGGATACCTCTTAATAGAAGTATTAAGAAATCATGAAACAGTACAGGACCTGGTGAGGGGAGGTGGCTGCCCTGGAACTCACTATAGAAATCAGGCTGGCTTTGAACTCACAGAGATTTCCCTGCCTCTGCCTCCCATGTGCTGGTATTAAATGTGTATGCCACCACCCCCAGCCAAAAATTAATTCTTAAGTTTTCTAAAAAATGAGAGTAGAAAGATAGAGGCATAAGAAATCCCTTTCTGTTTTTTTGCTTGGGCTCATCAAATGGAAAACAGTTGGCTTACAATCATCTATTGTTTTGCTTTAGCTTTATTTATAAAACTGGATCCTGACAAACGTTTGGCATAAAAGAACTTCTGGTAAATTCTACACTGTTCTGCATGAGGTTCTTCCTCCTCCAGAAGCAATACCTATCTCCACTCCTGTCACAGCTGCTGGAACCCCGGGAAAGCCTGCTCTCACAGACCCTTCAAAATGGCCTCTGAAATACGGCTGCAGGAACCCACTCTACACCTTCCAGACCACAATCTTCTCTATCTCCCTAGGACAAATGTGTGGTTCTGACATGTGAACAGACTAAAGCTAACAAACAGCCCTTGATGTCCTACAGACTGCAGGAAAAAAAAATGTGTACTGAAACTGTTACTGCAAACATGGAAATGCAAGAAAATCTAGGCAGGGATAAATGCGTGTGGCAGTGTGTGTGCCGTGCATACATGTGTAAGTACATACTGTGTGTTTCAAGCTGCACTGTGTCTGCACAGACATCTCTCTGGCCATGTTAGGGTATACAGCTTGATCCTGTGACAATGGATCTACACATTATTAACTGCTGTTCATTTTTTCAACAGCCTGTGCTGTTGTCTTTAAAACAGTAGTTTGTCATTGTCGGAAGTAGGCTCTGTTAGCTCTCTGGGGCTATAAAAAAAATTAATAACTACAAACTAGATGGTTTAGACCAACAAAAATTTCACTATATCACAGTCCCAGAGGCCAGAAATCAAAAAGTATTAACAAAACCTCTTCTTCTTAAGGTTCTGGGAAGAAACTTTCACATTTCTCTCCTGGCTTCTACCAAGGAAGCCTCCAGCTTTTCTTGGTTTTGAGACACAGCATGATTTCCCATTGTATTTCTATATCATCTCTCTCTGTTATCCGTGGATCCAAATTTCACTTTGTAAATATTTATTTATTTGTGTGTGTGTGCTCAAGAGCTAAAATAAATGGGGAGATTAATATTCTAGAAAGCATATTTGCTTCTTGTCTTCATCTGTGTGTGTGTGTGTGTGTGTGTGTGTGTGTGTGTGTGTGTGTGTGT